CCAGCACAGCATCCACGATATTCCCTTCCCGTTATGAAGTGAAGCGGCGTCACTCACCGAGCCCGGGGCACTGGAGGTGGGAGGCCCGGAGATGCAGGGCTGAAGAAAGACAGCAGGCCTCTCTGGTGAATCCTTCAGATCCCAAAGCCAGATATATCCGGCGTGGAGGCGCTCCAGATCTCACCGCGATATCTCCACAGCAGCCCGGCGTGGCTGCGCACCGGTCTCACCGTGATGTCTCAGGGGTAGAAAACTCCACTGCACAGCAGCCCGGCGCTCCTTTCCCACCGCGATGTCTCCAAGGTGGATAAACTCCTCCGCACAGCAGCTCAGCGTGGCGGCTCTCCTGAGCACAGAAACACCGGAAACGCGAAAGCAGGCCCCGGCCCGAGCGTGGAGGCGCTGTGGTCTCTCCGCGAATATCTCCATGGTAAATGATCAACAGCACAGCACAGCAGCACACGAGTAGTGTGTACAATAAAAGAAGAATAAAGAAAGTGTCCCTTTCCTTCCAAAAGTTTTACCACAGAGCCATCAACAAGAATCAACAGTGGGGAGAAATCCCTTCCTGGTACGGCACGCTCACGAAGTGAAACGGAAAGTGTGCTGCCTCCTTTGTGTTGCAAAACTGTCCATTTCCTTGAGATAATTTCTTGATGTCTGGCAACATAATGCAGGAAAGTGTAAAAGCCATTTGAGGCTGCAGGTTGGCTGGATGATTGTATTGTTTACAAAACTGCCTCAGAATGAATGTGTTGATGTATTCATTTCAATGTGCTACATGTAGTAGAAACAAGGGTTAGGTGCTTCTACACATATCCAATCAAATGCGTAGAAGCGGCTGCAATGCAAGTGGCATTGTTATTGACTTAGATGTATCCTTAATTCCTGCATAATGTGTGTGTGTACCTGGGGATTAAACACTGATCAACACAGTAAGATTGACTCATCCCTGGCCAAACCTGGAATTATCCTCGAATACAGGATTTAGGTAAGTGTAAACATGCACAACTAAACATTGTGACACTTAAGGAGTATACTTTGATGTTAAAAGTAAGATCATGGCGGAAAGACAACCTGTATTATATGTTTTTCATATCTTTAAAGCTTTTTGCTGTTGTTGCTTACATTTTCTTCACATCCTTCGTAAGTTTGAAGTGCTTTCTTGAAGAAGCTTGCTAATAGCTTTCATTTCTAAGGACACAACCAATACTCAGAAGGGGAGAAGTTTATGAAAGGTAGCCATATTGGCATTTAAGTGCATTGTTAAAATCACAACTAATTATCAACAGCACTCAACATTGCATTTGATCAATATTTATATTTTAATCATCATGATTCATCACAGTGATTGTTATGTTAAATGATAGTTTTCCTTGTATCGTGTCTTAATATTTGTTCTTGTTTGGTGTTTGCAAATGCTGCTGTGATTCAAGTCAAATTTCAGACTTAATCTGACAATAAATGATTATCATATCGTACGTATTAACACAATTCACAGTATCACAAGAGAAACATATTTCAGAAATGAAATCTAGAGAAGACAAAGAAGACACTCTTCATATATGATTGTCTATACTTTTTTTGCCATGGGGAAATCATTTTGGGACACCTGGGGGAAAAGAAAAATCTTGATGAACACACTGCGCTATATTTTCAGCTGGTCACCAGAGAGCAAATATATGTGGGAGTTCAATGGAAGCCAAATCAAACACTAATATATTCAAGAGTGTGTACCAATTACTTTTTATGATTATCCCTGACCTATAGGTGGGTGTTACACGTGGGGAATTGGTTTCTCATGTCTTACCATATGATTGTACAGTATGTGTGTGTGTGCTATAATCTGATTGGTGCAGCATAATCATTGGCTATGTTTTATTCATCTGGGAGTTACCAGCTAATGGAAAAAGTAGGTGATTGAGTCCACATGCATATGCGTTTGTACATGTCTATCTGTGTGTGAGTCTAAGCCATTTTGGGTGGGGGGAGAGAAACTCCCTCTGGGGTGAAATGTGTGATTTTAGCCTTTGCAGATCATTTACATGCACACAAACCTATATCACACGAAAGGGAAAACCCCCAAAAAGCATAATAGGGCGACTTTAGGAATACATAAAGATTTTTGTTTTTGTTTAAATGCTACATCTTAGTTGTTGCACTTTTTAATAAGCCGTAACATGTATAAGTCTTGACTTCTTTGTACTAACCCTAACTCAAAGGTACAACTGCTAACTTGATAGCTTATTAGAATATCCGCCATCTTTAAGAGGGCTTGAGTTCTTGTATTTATAATCCATCATGTCTGTAGTTGTAAAGCTGAGTTCTTACTAAGTACATTTAGGTTCCAGATGCCCTATCATTATTTCATGAAGATATATGACCAAATGTTGCTTTGGACGATACTTTTGATGATTGAAGGACACGAAGACAAAGCAAGGTCTCAAAAAACGTAACCCAACTTTATTTTGTTCACCCAAATGTTGTCACTCCATAGCTATCACTGTAAAGCGTTAATCTAATTGATAAAGATTAATAAGTAAAAGTATGATTCACTGAATCTTATCAATGTAACTCGACTTCAAGTTTATTTCAAGGCTATACCCCACAGAATGTATTTTCTTAACCAAACGGCTTTTAAATCTTTCCATGGGTTCTTTGAGTGTATGCTGTGTGAACCTTTTTCATGTATGAACGATACAGCGAGCCTCCATCAGCAGAGATGGCTAGCAACATTTACACTTTGATCTCCAAAGCTGTGCTGAGCTCTTACTTCTCAAATACAAACCAGAGGGACATTTTTTGTTCAATTATTTCTGAGCCTCAGCATTCCTATACTGCACCTCATCTACTTCCTCACCCATCTGTCCCCTCACCTCACCCCTACCAGCACCCCCCCCTCCCCTCCCCTTTTCTCTGTCGCTCAGCAACCATTCCTAATTAATCAGCTTTTACAGTTCGATCTGATCTGCCTCAGGATTGGACCGACTGATAAGCTGAATGGTATATACACACAGGCCTACCCCTCTCTGCTCACCACTGCCTGGAAATATAATTACTGGAGGATGCACGCACGCACGCAGACTGAGTAAGCCCAGGTTAATGCCAATCTTTTTCCTCTTCTCTTGACTAATTAGAAATGTACTGACGAGTCATTTGTTTGGAAGTTGAATGCACTGTGCACTTGTTGTCGTTATTCAGAGACTCAGAAAAGTTATATAATCAAATCTATTTAATGATACGCTTTAGTAAGCGTATGTGTGTATGGTAATGACATGTTCTGATGCTCTTAATGAGCATGTGACAGTGGCAGGGGTAAGGAAGAGCATCCACATGGTTCAGACAGTCATTACTTAAACGTAATCTGTCTCCTCTGTGCCAAATGACAGTTAACACACTCTCTTATCAATCTGCCCTATGGCCGCACTCGACAGCTGTCAATACGCTGTGGTTCCTTACAACATTTTCATCACCGGGAAGTCCATGGGACGGCATTCATGACAAAACTAATTTTCTCGATTGAATGATTTTCCGATAATCATTTAAATCCTGGTGTATAGATTTGTGGGAAGCCATGTGAAAATGTGGTCTGCGTTGAAGAATGATGCAGGTGTGTGTTTGTGTGTTTCCTCATAGATCTGACACTGAGAGCACGTAAGGGCATAACACATCCTATACAGGCACTCATTCAGTGTTGAGTGAAGCAGCACAGTCAGGTTTATTGCTGTGGCCATAGCAACAGCCATGCGTGAGGATGGAGATGACTATTTTTTTTGTGGGGATGCACTGAATGTCCTTGTTCAGATGACAGAGAGAGAGAGAGAGAGAGGGATGAAAATGCAGTCGGAGTGAGGGATGGAGAGAAAAGGGAGGGGTAGATAAGGCTGGATTTTATTTTTTTTTAGAAAATACTGAGTGGAAGCTTCCTTTCACATCCTTTTACCTGTTTTGTTCTACAATCCGGCAGAGCTCTGTGACATATGGAGTCCCTATGTTGGATCAATGCAAGAACAAGAGTAATGACATTTTACTATTCAACAAATAACCTTAACGATGTGAATATGTTACTCACCACCAGGCTACGTCTTAATGATTTTCCAACTCTCTTCTTAACCGTAATGCTCATTTTTTAGACTGCTCTTTTTTCCCAATGGGGGATTCTCCACTTGACTTCCCCTCCCACTGTTTATGTGTTCATCTCTTCCCTCTGTGAGGGTGTCTGTATGTGTAGTCTGTCTGAGGCTAATCGTTGTGTTAGGGAGGGCTGAATAAGCCTGTCTTTGTCAGGGCATTAGGTTTGGAGAGGATGAATACATGATAAATGGTGCTGGTGAAGGTGGCAGCATGTGGATTTGCCTAAATGCCACCGCCCCTCTTTGCATTTCTGTCTCCCCTGCTGTCATAAGTGAGCATTTATGGTGTCTGTATGCCACTCTGTGTTTTAAAGGGTCAGTTCACCCACATGACCAAAACACATTTGTATCATTAATTGTGCGTGGTATCTAGTCATGCAGATGGATTCAGTTTGATGTCTTAATGCTCTCCTTTATAGTGGTAGAAAGTAGTTCTATCTAATGAAAGCACTTTGTCACAAGGTGTTTGACTTGACCTGAGACTTTTTCTTCAAATGTCATATTCACAAAAAACCTTTGAAGAGAGCGAGTAGACTTTTATCTCAGCTGAAACATTTTGAATCTCTGTTGGAGGTAAATCATGGAGAGGAAGAGAAACATTTGAGGTGAGGGTGATGTATACTTTACTTTAAGAGATGGAGGAAGAGAGGATTCTGCTATTAGGTGGAATGTGGTAACTGAGAGGGGAGAGGAGGGGGAGAGGCAGAGCGAGAGCAGGAGCGAGGCAGGCGGGGAGGGGGGCTAGGTTGCTGACTCGGAGCTTTGCCGCGGTGAGCTTTGAGCTAGCGACTCTCTGAGCTTTCTGCCGGTGTGTATCTGTAGGCTGCTGTTGTGCAGACCGTAGCCTAGCCACGTTAGCCGCTCTCCTCCACCTCCACTGCTCAGTCAGCCGGCACCTCGGGTTTGCTTCAGCTGAATCTAGGTTCTGCAGTCCCTGAGAATCTCTGTCTGTAGCTGAGGATTTCCTGCTCCTGCAAGGATTCTCCCTCTTGCTGGCCAAAGCAGAGAGAGAAAGAGAGGAAGAGGAAGACAGGAGGGGTAAGAGCGACAGCGGGCCGGTAGTGACCTTCGTGGTGGCAAAGCAGAGGAGGGAACGGGCACAGGATCCATCAGGTGTGTGTCATCACTTAAAGGGACGAGTAAGAAAAGAGTTTGAGACTCTGCTGTAGGCTTGCATTTGTATTCAGAGGCTGTGCAGTTACAGTGAAGGAGGGTTCATACACAGAGTACCGAAATATGTCATGAGTGAGACCCCTCTACACTTAAATGTCATTTCATTCTGTAATGCAGCAGTAGTATGCAAGTTAAGAAAGTAGTACTCAGCTGAAGAAGAGTTGTACGATAAGATATGTGAACACTAAAGGAGACATTCTTCTGTGACACATTGTAGATGGATAGATCCTCACAGAAGGCAGATATAGAGATGCTGATATCAGGAGAGGAAAATATAAATGGTGAATATCAGAGATGGATGAAGCAGGAGAGAGAGGGAGATGTATGTTGTGCCAGCTAGAGCTCGGTGAGGATGACAGACGTGTGTGTGTGTGTGGGTCTTTCTTACTGACTTGGACTTGGCTTCAGAGAAAACCCCCGCCTGTGTCAGAGTATCAATCATTGTGGGCTGGGTGCTGTCTCAAGGCTGTGTGCACTTCCAGCTATTTGGAAGTCTCTGTGTGAATATATTTATAAAATAAAATATGTTGTCATGTGGGATTTTTCTCCAAGTGGTCTTGTAAGGTGCAGCATGTGCAGTAGTGATGCACTGTACTTCTATGTCTGTGTCTATGACAGGATCTAGCACCTGAGGTTCACTACAGTACTTGCTGCCAACTGATACGGATCCTTTCTGCTGAAAGTTTGCGTTTGAATCACATCAGCAGGAGGTTGAGAGAGTATGACAATAAAGGTTTTCCCTGGTGAAATGGCCTTGAGAAAGTCATCTCACCATACAGTAGGGCTTGAGCCATTTGGTGCTTATGTTCCTGCTGTCACTTTTGTCATCTTTATGCTATTTGTTTGTGTTTTGCTAAAGGGTTTAATGTCAGGATAACGCCAGTAGGTAATTGGAAAAAAGGCTACAATAGTTTAGCTAATCTCTAATGGACAAATTAGTTGTTTTATACATTACGTGATTATACTGTAACCCCAAATGCTGGAATGTGAATACCGTTGACAGATGGATTGCATGGGGATTTTAGAGAATGACTGGATAGGAAAAGCAATTAAACCTGCAAGTCATTATATTGGCTCCAAACCAGTTGAGTGCCTCAGCGAATGTTTCCGTTTGTCAAAATATTTAGGCACATTTGTTTGTATGACAGCCAGAGCTGGAGAAAAAGATGCAGAGGGAAATATGATTGGAGTGTGAGTGAACTCTGGGTTCTATCTGCATGCGTTGACGATGGTCCTGTATCTTCCTGTCTCTAACTTTCTTTGTCCAATCACATCACATGATATCACGTCACGTATTTCTGAGGTAACCGCTAGACACTGACCTGCTGAGAATTAAGCTTGACTCGGGCTAATCCATTCTGGACCCTGCATGACTCAGCAGCAGGCGCGCACACACACTCTTGCTGGCTATAAGTAGTGTTGAGGTTGTTAAAATTCTTGTCTTGCTTCTGTATTTCTACAGCTCAGACTATTGACTGTGAATATTGGCGCTGATATAGAGTGGATATGAGCAGTAATATTACTTTGTTAGAAAATAACACAGGGCTACTGTATCATACTGGCACTTGTAATATCACACTGTTTGCTGTATGGCAATTTCTGTGTACAAGTGTCTGAATGTGTATACAGGTGCTGTGCAGACTTCATAACTTTCTACCTCTCCAGAACATCTTCTGTTAAACCAAGAGGGGGAAAATCCAATTACATCCCCTGCACACTGCCTGCCAAGAATGAGACAGGCTTTTTATATCTTTGATTTTACAAATCTCTTTCAATCATCAAATGGGCCGAATGTACCTAAAACACTACGCCTTTATTGTATTCATTTGCCATGCTGCACATCTGTGGCTTTGAGCAAGTAATGTGTGCATAAATGTGTGTGTGTTTTCAGCTGAAGATGAGTGTGTTATCCATGTGGAGGTAAAAGCTTTCCCTTGATAGATCCTGACAGAGAATTACATTATCTATGTAGGTGTTTTCTATACAGCCTCTATGGATGGTCTTTGGTTTGAAACACTGTATATGTGCGTGTGAATGAGCAATATAAATGCACATATTTATTTTATGTGTGTATGTATGTATAAGTCCAAGCTATATAAATGCACATATTTATTGTATTTCCGCAGTATATTGTCCTCTTGTGTCCTTTATGCATTAAGAACCCTTGGACATGGTAAATGAGGGATGGAGGGAATGCAGGGTGGAGCGCGTCTCGTCCTCTCTGGTGCTGCTCGGTGCTATCATGGCTGTAATGAAGGCTCATTCATCTCCATCTCAGCACAATCTCATCACTCACAATGAGATTGCAGTGGCTCTGGAATGAGGATAAGTGTGTGTGTTGTTTAGAGGATCATGTATGTAAGTGTGAGTAAGAGAATGCATGTTGGAATGCAATCAGTGATGCAGGAACAGACCTGTAGAAGTACCTGTTGAGGAGAACGAGTGGAAATGGGTCAGGTTTGATGCAAAAGGGCGATGTTTTGTTGTGTTTGGTCAGCATTGTGAGGGCAAACTGTCAGCGCAGAATTGGATCAGTGAACATAGATTACATTCTGAGGTCAGGTTAAGCAAGCATCCATTTGAGCTCTGGAGCAACATCCTCAGCCTGCAGCTGAGAGAGGGGAGGGGGGAGGGGAGGGCAGATTGGAAGACGGACACAGAGAAACAGAGGGACGTGTGTAGAGAGATAAAGGCTGAGTAATGTCATCATAGGCCCCATGTCCTCTTGGTCTGATTAAGAGCCTCTCTGAGCACTCCCAGACGCTGCGCTGTGATAGGCCAAGGTCACGGCGCATCACGGTGCAGCCCTGCAGATTGATGCTTAACTCCGTAAGGAAACGTCGGGAATCTAATTTGGCCAATGGACTTCCTCTCCACTTCAGATGAAGAGGACAATTCCCCTCGCCTTGGGGCCCTCCGAGGATGTGTGTGTGTGTGTGTAAATGTCGGCTGGCTTACAGCCTAGTCTGATGAGTGTATGTGTCTGGATTCATTCTGCATGTGTAGATCTGTGTGGGTGCTTTTCTATTTTTCTGTACTTCTGTTTGTGTGTGTAGGCCTTTCTCTCCCTTATTTAGTTGGTGTGGCAGCACCAGCATGTGGTTAAGGCATGCGTGGTAAGTGATTGGCAGGCCATGATATTAGTTTGGGAATAATAAGAATGTAATAACTCGGTGGCGTTTGCCTCCAGAGATTGACTCTCAGGTAATCACATTTACTCAACACAATCACCGTCTCACACGCCAGTGCCCGGGACAGGGTTACGCTCTTTTTCCATTTCCTTTTATGAATGTCATGAATGTGTGAAGTGTTGTTTGCGTGTTGATGCTGTCTCGCAGCTTGGTTATGAGCGCAAACTGCTTGTGTTTGGGTTTTGCAGTCTGTGTGGGTAGAGAGGGGTTTGTAGATGTCAGAGATGAACTAGAAAAGACTTAAAGTAGTTATATGTTTGGACATTTTGTTAGTTTCCACGCTGTTAGAAGCAGCTTCCTGTACCCTAAATTATCCAAATATCCATATCATATTGCTATCATTAGTTTTAATAATCCATCATTTAGTTAACATTTGTAATGCAAACAAAGGAATTCAAATATACTGGGGGTTTTTTTCAAGGTGTTTTTGGGTGTCTTGCCTTTACTCAATTGTACAGCCAGAGGCAGAAGACTGACAGGAGAGGAGGAGAAATAGGAGAGGGCATGCAGCTAAGGGCAACACTAATGGCGCGTTTCCACTGCAGCGGGTAGCCCCGTTTAAGCGTCCTTAACCGTCCTCAAGCGGCCAGGCCGGTTTTTGGTGGTGTTTCCATATAGCCTAGTACCGGCCAGCGGGTACTTTTTCCGGCCTCATAAAATCGTAGTTCCCTCAGACCAGGGCCAGGGCTGAACTAGTGACGTCAACACTCTCGACTGCTGATTGGTCAGAGAGAATCGTCACAAGATTGCGCGCGAGTTCATCCCTAGCGTCGCATATATATCTAGAAGCAAGCTTGCAGCATTTTTATACACAGCATTTTGTAAACGGAGGAGCTACAAAAATGGCTACTTCTAAGAAAAGCACACCGTGGTCGACCGAGGAGGTGACGACGTTCCTTCATCTCATTGGGGATGATAAAATCCAGCGGGAGCTCGACGGAACAACGAGAAATGTGAACAAAAACAAAGCCGATCGCCCCGCCTACACTGCGTTGCTAGCACAGGTCCTAAACTGTAATGGAAATGCGCCACGGCCTCGGACGGCCAGTGAGGCAGCCCGAGGCCAGAGCGAGGACCCTTAGGGACGCTTAAACGGGGCTACCCCGTTGCAGTGGAAACGCGCCATAAGGGACCATGGGTCAGATTCCAAACCTGAGCCACTGCAGTAATCCAAGCAGTCCCCGGGTCACCAGCTAACCTACCGTGACGCCCTAAAGTGGATTTATTTTTGAAATAATGTTTTTTCTGAATAACTATATGGTTGTCAATTTAGAGCTTTGATCTTATTGCAATATTCATTATTAAACAAAGCTTGTTAAGGTCAAATTAAGTGTTAACAGACAGGAATAAAGTTGGGCCTACCTCGCAGAGACAAGTTAAGAAGTAATTTGGGTGCAGCCACAAAGTGCACAGTCACTGTTTTTTCCAGACTGATCCAAAGAGCTGTTGTAAGTTAAATGCAATGGAGCAGAAACTCAAACATCAATTATGGTGATGCATTGTGTCAGCGTTGGGTTGCTTTTTTATGAATACATATCTTTTTTTTGAGGAGATATAAACTTTAGGCACAAATCTTTATTCAAGCAGCAGATGTTTTCATCTTTTTCAAAATGGAATTGATTATTTCTGTTTGTGTTGACAATAAACAAAGACAGAACCAATGCGATGAATTAACTGAATCCTTTATCCAAGAATACATTTCACTACTGTAGGTACTACTTTCATCAGAGGAAGTTCGGAACATTTGGC